TGGGAAGCATTTATTATTAACAAGATTTATTAACAACATCAATGATGGATTATTCTTTGTTGGAGAATAGATGCGCTGTTCTAAGTTTTGTATAAAATTAATTATGAATCATAAGTATAGCGAATATATATAAAACTGTTATACATTTATCTTTTCGTTAAAAATTAATTTTAATGCGTGGAATTTGACATGAAAAGTAAGAAAGAAATTGTTAATTGGAACATTTAACATCTATTAACGACCACACGATTTTGTCAACTAATATATATGTTATAAATAATTTGTTTCTTTACACGGTACTTGGTGTTACATCGTTTTCTTAGTTGCAACAAAACAAAAGTTCAATTACTTTTATTATTTATAAATTAAAAATATATGCTGCATAAATATAAAATATCTACATTATTGATTTTAAACGATCAAGAAAGAATTCTGATAATAATAACCTTTCAAATAATTGAAAATAATTCTAATAATTGTAATTTTTTAATTTTTAGAAGAAAAGGGCCTATAAGATCTCACAATGCATATGACGGAGCCACTATTAGTTTTCACCCTTTCGCTCTTAATTTCTGGTAATGACATAACTGTGCGTGTTGTGTGTGTGTTTATATTATATATGAAAAATTATCTGTTAACTATTATCTTCATGTCATATATTTTGAACGTGAAACACAATATCTGCATCTTTGCTGAATTATTTTCTATGTTTCAGAATATCAAATTGTTAATTGTTTATATTTCTTTCTGAATTGATTCACTAATACTGACTTTAAACATTTATAAACTTAATTTTAAAAAATTTAGTAAAAGTATATTTTATCTATTTAACTTGTAAAAATCTTATCTATTTAAATTGTAAAAATAATATAATCTTATAAATATAATCTTTGACATATAGCAAAATAAATTTTGCCTAATAGTAAAATTTTATCACTTCTAATATTATTTTAGAAGAAATTTGTATTATTGGCAAACTTAACCTATTAGTAATAGATGTAACTGATTATCAATTAAATTTACTTTTCCAGTTTTTGTAATAAAACATACATTATACTATAAAGAAGATGAAACATACATTAAAAATCCTTGGAACATTACATTGAGTGCTGAATTGCTAGAAAGACAAGAGACTGCTGAACATTATATTAAACTTCTTACCATAATTTCTGTAATAATAATGTCTTTCAACATATTTGCACTCATTACTGTATTTATGTACTGGTAAGTAGATTTTTCTTTATGTTTATATACATATAATTTTACAAGAATAATTTATTTCCGTAGTAATTATATAAGCAACAAATTCAATAAATAATTTGAAACTTTATCGGAAGAAAAAGTTAAAAATTTTAGCAAAGTATTATTAACTTTTTTTGCGTAGTTTTGCTGTTAACAAATTTTATTAAATTACAAAATTCAAGAATGATTATTATATTGTTATAAAAACAACTCAAGTAGTAAATAATCGTTATCTGACGTTTTTTCGTTATGATAAACAAAAAAAAGATCGTAGACAACACACATTATGTCTTAAAAAAAGATTTGCATAGAAAACTATTGCGGACAATACATATTATGTCTTAAAAACATCTGAAAAATGTATAAAAATGACATTTTTCAGACATCTTTCAGATGCTTTAAGACAGAGATGGGAATTAGTTGCAACTTTTGGCTCAATTTTCTGATTGACGCCTACTGTTCCCTCCTTGCCGCTCGCATGCTAGCAACGAATTACCAAACGCGCTAACAACGTCCGTAACTAAGATACGTGATACACATTGTCAGTCTCAGGAATGTCCATATCACAAATGCAACAAGATGATAAATATGGGACAATAGATTTCCACATCACCTGTGAGGTACTATTATTGACACGTCAGACAACCTATATTTATCCCATATTTATTATCTTGTTGCATTTGTGACATGGACATTCCTGAGGCTGAATATCGCGCACCTTAGTTACGCGCGTTGTTAGCGCGTTTGACGACTCGTTGCCAGCATGCAAGTGACAAGGAGGGAGCAGAAGGCGTCAATCAGAAAATCGAGCCGAAAGTTGCAACTAATTCCCATCTCTGCTTTAAGATATTAACGTTCTTGAAATGAATGAATTAATATTAAATTGTAAATGTCTATTTCCTTTTATCATCTCTTGATGATAAAGCTAATAAATACCCAAACAACACGCAAATCTTGCAGATGTTTTTAAAACTTGCGTGTTGTCTGGATATCCTTTTTCTGTACTACTCATTCAATAACTTTTTTCAAGAATAACAAATCATGCGTATATAAATATCATGTAAATATACATGTACGATTTTTTACGTTTAATTAAAATGAGAATAATTAGTAATAATTTTGAACGTAGAGTTGGACTTTGCGAAATTTGCAAGCGACAACATCAGGAGGTGAGAATTACTCTCCCTCGGCGTAATAATGAAGACGATGGTAACGAGATATATTATATAGGACTAATAGTAAGTAAAATATGCAGTGGAATTTTCACTTGAAAACATAGAACAATCCAATAACAATTAACATCTTCTCAATATTTTACAAACTTATACATAAAATAATTGAATTAGTTTATGAGACAAAAATCTGTTAAAACTAGTATTAAAGAGTCAATAATTTGCGATGTTTTGGAGGATATTAACTTGATTATGATACTTCTTTATAGAAAATGCCAACAAAGTTCATTGAGAGCTAGAAATTTATCAAACTAGACACAAATATGTCATTATAATTGTTTCAAAAGTTGCTCTTAGATAATAATCATAAACATATAATATATATTTTTTTTAAATTGACCCTTAAATATTGGAAATAATTGCATTGATATAAAAATCAATTGCCTTATATGATAAGTTTTAATCGGTCATACAATATTTCTGAAAAAAATTTTTTCAATTTTTATAGTGATCAAGATATTCAAGATAATGTTAATTGATTATTGACTTATGTTGTATTTTGTATGGAACAAATTTATCATATTTATTTATATTTATTTTGATCAAATAGTATAGTAGTATATGCACATAAAATTTATTGTATCATTATTTATCTAAAAAATTATTATTTTAAAAAGTTAGAATTAATTTACTTTTACAGAGAAATTTACGGAATGAGAATAATATACGGACTAATAACGTAAGAAGATAATAAGTCAACAATAATGAAAATAATACTGAATAATTTCCTGGCTTTTTATTAATTTTAAAATGCATCATTCGACTTATTTGTGACACTCCTAAATTGCATGGAACGCTATACTCATTTTTCTAAATTCTTATGTTAAATTCGATCTAAACAGTGCATTTCTTGCAATATAGTTTGTCGTAAATTATTTGTAAGACAAAATACATTTTAACAATTTTGCGATATAAGAAAAAAGATAAGAAAAACTGCATGAATCTAACATTGATTACTCAATGTTATCAATTTAATATAAAAATTAAATTTTTATATTTTTATATTATTAGAATTTAATACCAGATTACTAGATCAGTATAACAATTTTAACCACAATGACCATAGCTTTTATAGGCTCCGAGAAATATAGTGCCAAAATTTATATTTTTTTAAGTTTTTCCAATATGAAACAGATACAAAGTGACAAAATATTAATTTTGGGATTATTTTCTTATTGCTATATTTTCAAAATATTTCACCTAGTAATTGATAATATTAATTGTAGAAAAGAAATTTCTTATAGTACTGTATTTCTTATAGTACTGTATAGAAGATTGTGAGTAGCTTCCTGATAACTTAATTTTAATCAATGTGTAATTAATTTGTAATTAAAAATTAATTTCATTAAAAACAACGTTAACACTAAATTAAAATGTTAACAATGTTAATACTAAATTAAGTATATAAGTGTTACTACTTTCCTACTAAATTTAGTATTATGGTTCTTTTTGTTTTTATGATCATTTTATATGAATGTAAATACATATGTATAGCCATAATTTTTAAAAATTTGAAACAAAAAATCTTATAATTAGAACTTATAACTAAAACAAGATTAATGCATACATATTAAAATTGCAAGTAACATTTATGTAAATGGGAAAGAAGGATTTTGTAATAAATATTTTTATAATGTAAGTAAACTTAAGTACTTCTAATATAAATAAATTTTATCTTGTGAAAATTCATGTAAAATTATATTTGTTAACACTATATCCTTTCTTTAATATAAAAATGCTAATAAAAAATTAAGATAAAATTGCCAAATAGAGCACCACCTGCCAAAAATCTCGTGTATAATAATCTCATGAACAAGTAATTAATATATCTTGCAAATTATAAATAGTAAATTAATGATAAATTTATCGCTCACCTTATAGTTGTTCCGCCGATCCCCGATGCCTCCTGGAGCTCCTCTTCCTCTCAGTCGTTATTCTTTCATAACACTAACTGACAAAAGCAACGATCGCGCGATATTTTGCACGGCACTCCCGCGCGTATTTGACCTGATTTTCTTACATGATGACGAAAATAAGACTTGTAAAAGTACGGTCTACAATTCGATCGACACTCCAAAACAAGCAACGGCAATAAAAAATAAAAAATTGCGTAATTGATTTCATAAATTGTTCGCCGCGCGACTATGCTAGATCTAAACTAATTTGTAAGCTTTCTGCGAAACCAGAATTATTATAACCTATTTAAATTTTTAATATAACGATCGATAAAACGCCATTAATTGTGAACACTCCCGTTATATAATACATTCCGCTAATTGCCTATCACTTTTATCGGCACTCCTGATAAAAATTCACACTTATTATTCATTTTTATGCAGATAAAATATACAATTATTACAAAGTGTTCGCATTCTGCTTTCCTAACCGACGCAGTGTAAAGAAGAGACAGTCTGAACTTGACGCGCGTTGCATCGCTTTGATTCGACTTCAATACATCGATATCGTTGATTCTGTGCCGACTCTCCTTTATTATAACCTGATTAAATGTGCACAATAAAATTATGTTTTACCTGATTATATGATTCATTTACATCGATCTAATAAAAAAATACTTGGCGCTTTAATTCCCTTACACAAACCTATGCATGATTTTTACGTATCTAGGACATGAAAATTTGTATCTATTTTTTACTGCAATCTATTAAAATTTGCAGCATAGTAATGAACAAAATGCTGTAAACAGTCGCATTAAATAATTTGTTCCAATAATCGTCGATAATCGTACTTTAATCAACATTTTTGACAAAAATTTATATTTATTAAATAATTTTAGTATGAATAGAATATGCAGTTAATTGGAAAATACTTGCGCCTTGCTTTTCGTATTATAACAATTATAACCTATTGCAACGCACATGATCAATGCGTTTATCGCAGATGAACCACCATCAATCATGTGAATACTTATCCCAAATTTTTTAAATAATATTTCGGCGATAACTTGTTACTTCAATTGGCAAAAATCTACTTTTATGCGTTTTTAATGAGTAAAGTATGAATAAAAACAAGTAACATTATTCGCGGACCATTTATGCTCTACATTTCAAGCTGTCAATTGCTGTCAATTTAGGATAAAAAAATATCTAGTTGTGTAGTTTGAATTCTTAAATAAAGGCAAATAGCAGCCAATAGCAGCATTGAATAGGATTCGGTAACAATCTATACCAATGAGCACAATGGTCGGCAGGGTGAACGTCTCATGAAAAGCACTAGTCGTTCTTTGACTTGTCCCTATTCGTCTTGCAGCGCCGCCAATAGATTTTATTTGTCGAATATGTAGAATGACAACAAAAGTGTCGAACAATTGTCAAACATTTATATATGTATATACATCAGCTGTAAGCGGTATCGAATTATAATAATATATAAATATAAAATGGCTGAGAATGAATTCGTATCCGATAGTGACGAATGTCTTGTTACAGAAGCTATTAATTTAGATATCGAAGAGGTACTTATATCTTACAATATAATGGTTATCTATGCAATAAATCTCATGTGACATGAAACACCTTCCACTTTGCAATCTTGTTAAATGATTTATGTTTTATATATTTACATCACATGTCAATTTTGCCACATCTATCATAATTGTCATTTTTTATTGTTGTAATTGTAATTCATTAAGATTATTTTAGGCTGACTATAATGCCAATATCATTCTCTCTAGTTAGATAATACGGAATATGCTATACCAGTTGTGGAAAAATTACCCACCTTAGAAAGTATATTGATGGAACCTGATTGTGAGTCGATGTCAGAAACAGATGATGATGTCGGTATACCATTGGGAGAGAAACTTGGTAGTAGTGAGACCACAAGCATTGGCAGTCACTTATCATTGAATTCATTAAATAAGTCTTCTAAAACCCCTCAGAAAACGTCCTCGGATGTTATTTTAAGGCACGTGATACTCAAAGGAATAACATCACAAATTGTATCAGCCAATGTGAGCAATTAATTCATTTATTTTATAGTAAACTTCAGATATATTTTTTCAACTTACAAATTTTGTAGTAACTGTTATTCTTATATAATAACTAAACATCTCATAAAGTAATCATTAAAATGATTTATGTAGGAAAGAGTCAATGCTGGTTTAGCTAGTGCAGTCGCAGCTGGAGGAAATATGCTGGTAATCGGTACTAGCCATGGTCTAATATTAGGTTTTGACTCTTCACAAACATTAAGATGGTGCGATCAGGAAGCGAGACATCAAGGTTCCGTTTCTGCTCTGTGTTTCAATCATGATGGCAGCAGGGTGTTGGCTGGTTTTGTCAGAGGACACATTGTGATGTTAGATAGCAGTAATGGGAAAGTTTTGAGAATTCTTACTGATGTTCACCCGCTTGACACTGCTGTACTACATGTTAAGGTATAATTAATCTGACATTAATTTTCTAGTACAAAATGAAATTAATATATGTATATGTACAAATTGTATCTTTAGTCAATCTGCTTGGTGGAGAATTTCAAACCAGTTGTTTTCAGTTTACAGATTCACCAAAAATAGCTCTCTGTAGTGATAGCGGTGGTTCAGTGTTTGAATTGAATTTCACTAGAGTAATGGGCGTAAGAGGATGTGATAGTAGATGTTTGTTTAGCGGCTCCAAGGGAGAAGTGTGCACTTTGGAACCCTTATTGTTGAATCATCTGCCATCACATCCGCTGAAAAATTATACATTAGTAGCAATGGCAACATTATCAAAGGTAATTTCTTACAATAGATTTAAAAATGTCATATCTAATATTGATTTTATTTCGCGCAGGTAATTGTAGTTTGCATAAGACCGCGAATGCGCGTTGTATTGAGCCATCCATTAACTGGTGCTTCGACAGCACCACCTCAACTGTCCTGGCAGTTGGTTGTCATACAGACAGCTGACGGATCTCGTGTAATTGATCCAGTATTGGCTCTTGCGAGAGACAATGTGGTGCATTTTTATCAAGTATGTGTGTAATAATTGCATTATACACTAGAAAGTGAAAAAAAAAAGAACATTATGTAGGTATTAAACTACAATACTGAGATTTAATTGGAAAAATCATCTGATTGAGTTAAATTATCCAACATATTATGTTCCTCTTTCACTTTCCATTAATGTATTTTATTCAATATTTGTTAAGAATAATTATCAAATTAAAAATTATTGTCTGTTAACAGGTATACACCGAGGTTGGTTCGCGAGTAAAGTTGTCTCCTCTTCGAAGGATGACGCTACCGTATGCAATAAGCAATTTAAGGTGGCTAAATCCGAGATCTCTTGTAGTATTGGATGCTCAAGAGAAGTTGCATTTGTTAGATGTAAGAGCGCAGGATAATTTGGAAACGTTAGATCTGAGTCGCATTGGTATTTCTTATGCCTCTAGTCATTTCAAAGGATTGTCTACCGGCGGAAATGTTTCTAAGGTACGATTGATGCGCTGTGGATAAGAAAAATATTCTTCATGTCGCTTGAATATGTAAAATGTATTTTTTACAGGCAATGGCGTTAGCCGGTGAACGAGCATGCTACAACACCGTTGTAGTCTTTGGTTCGCAGCTGTTGTTATTAGGTACAAAGAGTTTACACGTGATTTGTATAAGAACATGGACGGAAAGACTGCAACACTTGATCATGCAGGTCAGTTTGAAGCAATCGAGAGTACTCTTAAATTGGAGTAAACGTTTTATTATATTTTAGAAACGTTTCCCCGAAGCGTTAGCGTTGGGTCTTTCCTTTTATCAAGATAAAGGCAAAGCGGTTATCGGCCTTCGAGGTTCTAAGCAGCGTCGCAAGCAAATAGCGCGCGACAAAGTTTGCGAAGTGCTGATTCAGTACATGGACGAATTGAATCAGTGTTTGGTGGACGAAAATCTAGACTACGATACGATAGTGCTCACATGCGTCGATTACTGCATTCAACTAGAAAATTTAGATCTGCTGTTTGGGAAGTTGTGGGACATAGTCTTCGAGTCGGAAGGGCTAAAAACGAGTTACTTGCACGCACTCGAAGCCCCTCTGCTGGACGGCAGACTTCAGCCAAGGTTGCCACCGTTGATCGCTCAACAATTGATCACGCTTTACGATCAAGAAGACAAAGTGGATTCGCTGGAGGCAATCATAGTTCTGTTCAATGTGGATTGTTTAGACATTCATCAAGTGAGCATGATTTACTGTAAGAATTAACATTCTAAGAACAGAATTATATGGACATATCTTTTTTTGTCAATAGGTAACGACAATTTGTCGTCAGCGAGGACTCTGGGAAGCACTGATTTATCTTCAGACCACAGCGCTGAACGATTTCACGGCACCCATTCATCAGTTGGTGCCGGTGCTACAAAATTTATTGCGCGATCCAACGGCCGCCCTGTCCCGAGACTGCATAAAACTCGGCAATGCTATTCTCGTGTACACCAGTTGTTGTCTCGCCGGCCGCGGATTCCCCAAGGACGAGCTGCCCGAGGGTGTGCCGCAGAAAGCGAAAGCTGACATACTGAGAGCCTTGCTTTCCCAGCATTCCAGCTTGGCGAATGACATGGAGAGGCAATATCCATACTTGAGAACGTTATTGCAATTCGACGCGAAGGGCTTTCTCGATGTTATAGCCATCGCCTTTCAGGAGCCAGAATTTACCACCGAAATGGGTCTTCGGCACCGACAAAGGCTCATAGACATTTTGTTGAGCATCGTTATGCCGAATACGCCGGTCACCCCGAAGAATACCGATTACATCACGACGGAGCAGCAGTTTATGGTTCTTGTATTCGTGGCAAACGAGACGTCCGAAAGCACTGTTACGTTGGAGTCTAGTACGTTGAATAGAATGGTAGATGTATTGTGCACCGATGCGCATGTAGAATTATTGAAAGATTTTAAGACTGAGAGAGAAAACGCCGTGCTGGGGTTGTTGCATTCTAAAAAGCTGTGCAATATTGCTGATAATACTTTACTGAATTTAGCGAATAGAGCGGGTTTGTAAGTATCTTTTTATATTATTCGAATAATTTATAATTCCTAATAAATTAACTGTCATCTTATACAATTACGACGCTTTCGTGTTACAGTATAAGAGTCGCGGAGCTACTTTACTGCGCGCGAGAGGACTGGGTAGCAGTATGCAAATGTATGATCTTAGAGCCGTCCAGACATCACGACGTCTGGCCCTGGCTCGAGCATCTGCCGGCCGCTTCGTTGGACCAAGTTGTATCGATTCACGTCTCGACTCTCGTGACGATCAACGCCAGTCAGTTCGCCACGATCATCGCGACGCGACTGCAGAATAAAATCGATGTGATACTGCAAAGTCTTAACGATAATTTAAGCTTGGAATACAAACTGCTAGGAGCTTTGTATCAAGTCGCGCAGTACAAAGAGGAGGACGTTTCTCTGGAATTAACGACTGAACACTTAGAAAAATATTTGGCGTTAATGTGCAATTTGGAGCCGGGACGTGTGGTCGCTCATTTGCACGGACCGCACGGGTGCAGACTGGACGAGGCGTTGGAGATCGTCCAAAGGTGGAAATGCAAGGACGCGGAGGCGGTGATGTTGGAGAAGCTGGGCAGTTACCAGGACGCGTTCAACCTTCTGCTGAAGGAGTTTGAAGATCGTCTGGAAATGTATCGACAGGACAAAGCCTCCGAGAACGAGACGGTGCACGCCGCCGTGCAGCTCGCGGGAATTTGCCGCAGATCGGCGGGAAATCTCGACTGGATGCCCCTCGTGGATGCCATATTCCGATCGCATTCGGAAAACAACAAGGAAAAGACGAATAAGTTGAGCGGCAAATTGTTGAGACTAATTTTAGAATCTCTGAGCGGTACCTCGATTCTGTCGAACATACTGGAGCAGATCTTGAGGAATCCATTAGCGATGAGCGGAACGATGGGCGATATACGACAATTGTTATCCGGGGTTCTCACACAATCGCGATACGAGCAAACCCTAGTCGAGACCACCGCGCGATTAGTGAGTTTAGAGCTTCACAAGGCTCTGAAAAAATCCTTGAGGTACCGAAACTCATAAAATATTAATAGAGTGTAGAAATTTATAAGATTTTACGATAAACCATTGGATTATGCACTCTTAAAAAAGGCATGAAAGATTGATACTCGAATGTATCGAAAGTATTGTTGACGCTTTTCCGCGACGCTGATTGGTTATCGCGATTATTCTGACAGTTTGATAGTTTGAGAGCGAAAGTTATTTAAAATAAAAAAAATTTTATTAAAGTATTTAGATTTCATAATTATTAAATTATTATTATATTGTTCTAGTAGTAATTAAAAATGCATTATTCTCTTACTAACACTAGTAAAGTAGAAGCCTTTGTTTAAACTAAACGACGAAAAGCATACAAAAAGATTACACATGAAATGTTCTGATGCCGTCTAAATACCGACAATCTGGAGAAGTTTATCTTTCGAATTTCTGCACTTATTATTACGTCTTATATCTATTGAATTATTCGAAAAGTTTTTCAACTTTTTTCTATGAAAATAAAATTTAAAAAATCTAGAAAATTTTTTTGAACAATCCAGTACATGCATATAGTTACTAATTTTTTTTTTACTGTTCATCAGGGATGCTGGCAGAGCATGCGGCAACGTTTCCACAACTTGTCCCGTGTGCCGGCAACTATTGTCGCATTGTTCCGATTACGTGGTGGTGTTCGCCTGCGGTCATGGATATCACTCGACGTGTCTGGGCGAACCTAAGTCGTGTTACAGATGCTTGAACACTAAAGGATGGGCGCCAGTGGCTACTAATGCTCACGCAGCACCCCAGCCACCGCCTGTTAGTTGTAATCCTTATTATCCTTATTACGTTTCATATTTTATGTGGGAAAATGTTTGTGCTATTCTAATATATCCTGCTTTACAGAGAAAGAGACAGCTTCTTCCACCAGAATTCCTACGTCACAAAGACCTCACATTAAGACTGGCACCGCCCTGTTCCATTCCTGATCTTGAGGGTATCTTTTAATCTAGTCTTCGGCTATTCGAGAAGGACAATTGTGTTTGTGTGAGCGGTACGTAGTACCTTTAAGATACCGAGATGAATGTGTACGCTATACATGCGTTACATCGGATCCTGGCACTATAATCATTCTGTCTGCGATACATTGTATAGTACCAATAAGAGATTTATTAAGCTCCATTCCTGGATACTTTATTTGTTTGACGCGCGATGATGTTTATGACACGTTGCCAAATACAAGTTATTACTTGAAATACAAAGTATTTATTATGGTTGTTTACAACGTCGTGGTTTCTTCTCTTCTAACTCGCGTGACTTCTTGCGCTTTCGCGTCGTTTTCTCACACAACTGATAAATATCGTTTAGATAGACGTTGGAATGTCCGTTTTACGTTTGGTTTTAATAATGCAAACTGGTTTTCTAGGCGCATTGTCCGCTAGCACATGATACGGATCCATGTATTCGTTATCTGACAATTCGCCGGTGAGGAGTTTCGCAACAATTGCAAAAGCGTCCGACTCGGATTTCACGATCGGCAATATTTCGATGGTCGAGACGTACGCGTCTATATAAGATTCTAGCTTAACAAAAAACGGAATCAACTTCGATGAAGCTAAATAATATTGTAACTGCAAAATCGAAAAGAAATTATGTAATTCTAGAGGAAGAATTTATAGGCGCATACAATTTTCGCAGGCCTTTCTCGCAATGCGCGAGAACGCGGGAATGCATTAAAAAACAATACTTTGTAAATACGTGCCTTATGATCGCATCTGTTTAGATTGCTCAATAGATCTTCAATTTCGTGTATCAAAGAGTAACACTTCGCCAGGTGTTCGAAACTGTATTCCTCATTGTGAGTGTGCAGTAATTCACTTGTTAAAAATCTCTCTTTCTTTATCTTTTTAAGGAGTATCGACAATGGCACTCCCGATAGCGTACGACTAGCCACTTGAATCTCGGAATATTTTTCACAGACCTACGTATTAACCTTTGTAAATACATGAATAACAAAATGGATAAGTGAAATACAGAGGCTTTACCTGCTTAGTAACAGATATCCGCAAAGCGTCAATCCTGCTTACAAACTGTTTAAGGCTGTTGCTGGCACAAGTATAATTCTCAGATAAGTGTAATAATGACTGGAGCTTGTCCGTCACATTGTACGACAGTTTATGAAACCACTCAAGCTTATCGCGGTACTTGAGATCAAAATTTGAATTGTGACTTTCCGCCTTGAGAATGCACACCTGTACAAAACATGCCAAAATGTGTGATATTATTCGGCCGACGGATGAACATTTTTAAACAAGTGAAAATGGAATATATATATATATATATGTCGCCGAGTAACATCACAGATATCGGAACAAACGTGCACACTTTTCCGACGTTCGTACGATCAACGTCGTTAACTTACATTTTTTTCGAGAATTCGTATGAGTTCGTGGCTTGAAATACTATTGGCCGCCATGGTATAATAATTTACATATAAATTATTTTCAGATATATCTCATTCAGACTGGCTGTTGAATAAATGCATCTCCACACAACTAACACGACATTGTACACAATCCGATAGTCGTATGTTTTGTTTTTTTTCCAGAGGAGAGACATATTTACTTGTCTTTCTTTATTGATTGTTGGGGCTGATATAATATATAAACGACATTAGTTTTTCCTCCTTTACGTGTACGTATGTAAATCTGGCGTTGATTTGTTCGTGCACACGCGTATAGGTCACTTTATAACAGCATATTAATTTATTGATATATGACATTTCCTCTATATTCGGCTAACATTTCCCTTTATTTTTTTTCTCCCGACAATGATGTAATGAGGTATCGCGGGGAATTTGTGATAAATTGAGAATTGACTCCTTCACATGTCGCTTAAAAAATTAACTTATGGCTTTGTAGTTTTTAATCGTTAATAGTGATTTCTTAAATGTTATAAGCGCTCCTGCACTCTCTCATTATCCTAAGTAATATACATATTATTACATATTCGGTATTATTATTATTATTATTATTATTCATGTTAATCGTTATATAACTAGATATTACTTATTTAGTTATACACAGCTTATCTCGATAATTGCAGTAGAAACATTGAAAAACATGTTTAAACTCGCACTTAACTGACAAGTATGTGCTGTTAATCGTAATCCGTTAGTAAAAGAAAATAACGCGATGTATTGCCATCAAACATACTGATCGCTTTATCCGCGCAATTTTACTCCGAGACGCTGCCACGATGAAAATCAATCAATCATCGTAGCCGGTCATTTCGTAGAACAATTCTTTGCGATAATGTCATTTCTGGGGAGCGGGGGGACAGGGGGAGAGTACCTTCATCGAAAAGGGGACGCAGGACGGATTATTACATATAGAATTCAATTCAATATACATATCTCGAATATTACTAAAAAAAAAGTAAAAGCATTTGCATCGATTAAATTTTACTTATTCAGTAACTTTTAATACAAACAAATTGTTTGACAATGAAAGTCGTTCTTGTAGTCGGCAACAAAAATGATCAGGTGCTTACAACTCAACTTCCGAGGGGTCTTTCTCTGTGGACATCCTGCGCCTCATCCTTTAACAGCTATCCGGCCGACTTACCGATCACTGATTAAAGCATTGGCTTCACTCTCAGTGCTATCTTAGTCAGTTGCTATCTTAAAAGTAACGTCATTTACAAACAGTACGTTGAGAATATTGTATTGCATTGATCATATTCCAATATTTAAATATTAATATTTATATTCGTAATATTGTGGAATATTGTTCAAGTTATTTTCTCTTAATAACTGATGGCCCGACAGAGAAAGACGCTCGGTGCAAAATGGAGTGCAAAAGCACACGTATCATTTTTATTTCTGATTATCTACTCGCAGAACTTTTCTTTGTTATTTGTTCATCATTGCTTATGAAAATGATAATAATACAATGATTTTAACGTGATGTAAGAAAACAAAGTCCAACAACGAAAGATTTTTTAAATTCAATAACTTGCGTAACTTGCCGTTTATTAAGTCCAAGTTGTAGTGACGTTTGCGCTCATCCCGTTTATTTTAGTTTATTGGTGAGATAATTTATTTATATTAAATTTTTTTTTATTATCTTACTACTCGTCTTAAAAATGAATCTTCAATCAATGATCCTTTAGCAAGCTGCATTAAATAACATTTATGTTCAATTTATATTCTGCGTTTACATTCATCGGCACGTGTTCTTTGCCTTTCAAAACTCTCAATGGGATTTTCAATGGTGAACATGCATCTTAAAACTATCGTTAGCTCCTCGTATAATTAGAAAAAAATTGCAGTTTTCTATAACAATCCACGTTGAACACAAATCGGTACAATTGGCGATACTCATCCCCCATGGATCGCTTCTTCATGATATACAATACATGTATACCAATCGTAAACTCATACAATACAGGCAGAAAAATGCCACAAGTCTATCAGGAACATGTGATATAAATTGTTTCTCGAAACCATTGAATGAATCATTTGCGTTGAATGAATATACATGTATGAACTAATGAAACGCGACTTCACTGTCCGACACTTTCCGTGTGACGAGCTCACTTTCGACTTTATATGCTGAGAAATGATATCTTATTTTTTTTTTTAGCAAGGGAGAATCGATTATACAGTTCATTAAAACGCGCTCGCCCACTGAATATTGTTGATACAGTTCCTAAACTCCTTCACCCTCGCGCACATGCCGCCGATGAGTGCGAGAGTGAGCAGGGTACCTACATACATTTGCAAGAGCGATATCTATACAAATCTGTTGTGTGAGTGATATCTAAAATGAGGAGGTTGTCTGTAGTTGTTCCCATGCCGCGATCGCGCATAGGAAGTATTGTAATAGTTGTATCTTCGATTATTATTATACCCTATTCCTATCGATCGATAGGTTTTGCCGTACTTTTGGTTTTGGAAATCTTGGAATGAATTATACTTCGCAGTAGACTCGTATCGGCGATTGTGGTCCTTGCTCTTCTTCGGCCGAGGTTTATCTATCATGCTGTCGTCCGAGTTGTAGTGACGTTTGCGCTCATCCCGTTTGTCGCTAGCGACGTCGCGGTCGAGTTGCGTTCTGTTACCGTTCCAGTTCGTTACTGCAAAGTTAAGGCACAAATTGACATAACTGTTGAGACACCATCGATTTACGACTAAATTTGATTAAATTAGACGTACCTGAGGAATTGCCGTATCCGCGGTGCGACATTTTCTGCAAGTGTGAAAGGGTATCCGAGCGATTGGTGCCGTTAAAATCACGCACGGCCGCAGCGCTCGGTGTTGTACTTTGATTTGACTTAACGTCTTCCCTGATACATTATATTTTTATTGTCTTTTTTTTTATTAACATTTGTCGTTATACGTCTTTTTTATCGGTTTATAATTATACAAAATTGAGAGACTGACATAAGAGACATAAAAATATTTACCTGTTATCCGATAGCGACCATCCATTGGATGTTCCAGTGTACGTGGCGGATGTATTCTTAGAACCTTGCCAGTTCTTGACGCTGCTACTCGCCTTTGTGGGTATTATATCCTCTTGTCCATTTTTAATTCTGACGGATTGATGCCACGTATCCTTGTCGCGCTGTTCCGACTGGCCGTTCGTTTCCGTTTTCCCGTTCTGATGCTTCAGCAAACTAATCCGTCCATTGCTGTTGGATCCATTTTGCGCCTTTGCACATTGTACAATCGTAGCTTGCGTCGTCATTGTCGTCGTCGATACGCCGTTCGTCTTGAGATTGATTTTTTGCGTTTCCTTGGAAGTGGGGATAACTTTCGATGCATCCTTCGCAACGGGATATTTTGGCACACCGTTCGTGGCGTTAATTCGTGATAAGGTATTTGTAGTTTGATTCTTTGGAGTCCCCGTTCCAGAGAGACAATTATTATCTTCCTCCTCGCTGGAGCCATCGTACGGCACCAAACTGTTTCCGTTCGTAAGCTTCTTAATATGCAATACCAACTTCGGCTGCGACTTCTCTTGCATTTTCTGAAGCGACTGCGCGTTAACGGCGTCGCTGGACTTCTGTAGAGGAAGATTTAATTCTATGCTTCTTTGCGGCGGCAATTGCGGACCGATCAATGGTTTGCTCGAATCGTCATGCGACAATTCGCTCGACGAACCGTTCGCGGAGCATCCCGCGGACGTCGACGCTTTGGATACGAGTGATTTATTTGTAAAGCTAGGTAGCGAAGTCGACACATTCTTCGCGGATGTCGTGCCGTTCACTTTCGCAGTCTGTTGATTCTGGCTGTAATTCTCCATTTCGAAAATCATAATGTATGCGTTTGTACTTAATATATTATTAAGGCTTATTGGACGAACGAGGGAATCATCGAAGGTATAATATTGACCGCTCGATACTTGCGCGACCGCCGTATAATGACCGCAGTTCACGGAGGGGCCCATGTGCGTTACCATCGACATGAGTTTATACGTGAGCTGCTTGGGGGATTCTCCCGGTTCCCTCCACAAGTACGGACCCATGTCTATAGTCTGTTTAAAACCGATGTGTCTAGATATCTTCCCGCCTAAAACGCTAAATCGTTTCAACTGTACACACAATACTTTCGGCGGGCGTTCTAAAGTGAATTGTTTGGTGGCAGGAACTCTTCTTTTGCAGGCTTCGCATTTATAATCATTGTTATCCAATTGTTCTCTACTGAAGTAACTATTTAATGCTTCGTCCAATGTATTGGCCTTGCGTATATCCACAAGCAAGTCCTGTTGAAATTCCAAAAATAGATGTTTGTAAGATGTTTGAAATATCATATAGAAATGTCACATGACGGTCGCATGCATCGATTTACTTACCTGAAAATGTTGAAATGTAGTAGACACGTGATGACACTGCAGGCACTTTACTTCAGTACGTATATAGCCACCAAATATTTGGTTAATAGGTGTTGTTTCCTTAGAATAGCTATCCAATTTAGTTGCTTTATGCCTAGTCAAATACGCGCGTTCCATCCCTTCCAATAAATAACGTAGAAATTCATGAGCATCTTCTTGTTGTCCAGGCACCATAGTTCGGCAAATGACTGAAAAATATTATAACTTGTAATATTTATATCCACACGCGAGATGGGATTAGAAAAGTATACATACGCTTTAGTTTATTATATATGTAAAACGGCTTGATCGCACCTCCAGATTTCTGATGGCTGAACTGCAGAGTCTTGGCCACTGCGCATGTAAGGCATTCCCCGCCGCCATCTAAAATTATCCTATTGTCAAAACACCATACTATGGCCATTATTACGTTCTAGGACATTTTTAAAGAACACGCCGTTTGTATGCTTACCATTCTGTTCGCACTTGGAATTGTGATGTGGATCGGACAGCAGCCAGTTGACAAGAGCCGGAACATGAAATAATGCCTGAAGAGTACTATTCAGATAACAAGTGTTTCCGACATTGTACATGCCCGCTCCGACTGGAAATGTACCTTTCCATCCAAGATGAACTTTTTTAGGAGAATACAAAGTGACAGCCGGTTCTGGCAAGACCGGTCCTTTATTCGTATCATTCTTCTTCTTATAATTCACGCCATCTTTCACTTTGTTTTCCTCTAACTTCTCAGAAGGGGATAGATTGAGAAAAATGTTGCAATTAGCCTGCACTTGACTTGTCGCTTTATAATCTTTTAGTTCTTCATAATGGATTTCCGTTTGCATAATTCTAGATGCGTTGCTGACTAATTCAATCGACAGATCATCTGTTGTTTTAGAGGGATTGCTGTTCAAAGCGCAATGAAGCCTAGCCGCAATAGGATCGCAAACGCTGACTGCCGGCATCTTATTTGAATTTTCTTTAAAGTTTACTAACCGAATATACCTACAACAAGACATTATGCATGAAATATAATTTTAAATACAATTTCAAATATATCAAAATATAAAATTCTACTGTTATGCTCCATGGCTACCATATCAATAAGATAGATAAAAAAATATATATATAATATTATAAAATCTTCTAAAATTATATACTGCATATCTATAAATATGTTTTGAGCATTAGACTTTGTATCTTGCTCCGCATCAAGGCTGATAGCTATCCCAATGCGGTGCAAAATATAAATATCAAAACTCGCTTAGATATACGTGTATATAAAAAAAATTCAGAATGCTATAAATCAGTTGTATACATAATCAGTATATGATCAAAATTAGAAGCATATTTGGAGAGACGGCACATGCGGTACATAACGTGTGAAATAAATCATTGCTTACCCGCTCTCTAATATGTAGCTATCGTTGAGCGGTTATTATCGAGAAAAATGCAACGACCATCTGGCGTGGGCTTTCTTCGTGCTCCGATCCGCAGAATCATGTAACTATCGATTCATTACATATGATATCATACGTTCATCCGTCTCGACGCGGTTACCGGACGGGTCTTGCCGAGGTCGCGTGTCTCCGTCACGAGTGATTTCCCGCGTGCTCTGTATTACTGATACCGATGTGATCGTTACGCTACGTAAAACAATATTTTTTTTGTGCTCGAACGTCGACACCGATTATCACGTATCAATCATATTTAACGATTTCACACTCGCTCATATCGGACACGCGGGAACGAGAGACATCCTCACATACACGACCGTGACAGCCATTTGCATTTACTATCTGCAGAACACTCATCGTCAGGAAGGTTGCAACGTTTCGCCGCTAGATGCATTGTGGAACGCGCCAAAGTCGCGAGAACGTTCCGACGATTCTGGTGCGTTCCGAAATTAATCTACGAGACAGTGTTGCAACCTTTCTATCGATGAACGAACGGCTTCCTGTGAGAGCTTCACCGATACGCGGGAAAATCGCGTACACATATACGCTCAAGATGGTTCCGGCCGGCTAGCGAACAATAGAGTGCGGGCTATTATTCAATCCTCAGACAATTTTTGCAGCTCCTCAAATTTTTCAGCTGGATGCCGATTAGGACGTTCGGTAACTATAATTTTTCCTTGAAATATTTAGTAGACACGAAACTTGTGCGTCCCAGCGGATTTCTAACGATATTTCTGAGAGAAAAATTTGGTTAGGAATGACGAATTATGTATGCAGTTACAAATATTGATATTAGTGATTTGCTGATGAAATTAATCGCCGATTAAGTGAATTGAAATTTTTCCCGCTTTAACTGGTATATCGGTGAACTTGTATGCTTTGAAATTGCATTTATAATATTTTTTTGTATTTGCAAAAATTTATATTCGGATATCTTATGCGCTATAATTTTATACATTAGTTACGCAAGTAGCTAAGAATAATAAGAATGCAGAAAAAAATATTAAAGAATCGCATAATAGCAAGATTATGGTTATGCGTTCTAATGTCAAATAAATATTTCATCATATTTAACTTTATTTATATTTTGATATATTACGCTCTTAGATTACACGAGCAATTAAAGAATGATATAATAATAAAACTGACGCTATGCATTTTAATATCAAATAAATATGATTGTACCATTTTTATCAGTAATTATTTAACTGATTTCAAATAAACGCGCGAACAGAAAGTTACTAAGTAACTGTACTTCCGATTTCCGGTTGAAAACTAGGGGAGAATTGTTGCCAAATTCTCGTTTCTCTCGTCTCTATTTATTAAAAATATGTGGGAGTTTGGTGGCACTGGGTTTGAATTCGTGCAGCTTGCTTTACGCTGTGGCTTCTCGTTGTTTTCCAACACTTTGACATGTCGAAAATACCGTTAAAATAAGTGTAACGTAAATTGTTATGGGTCACACTTGAAACAAATGTGCGATTTTTGCGGAGCTGGAGAAAAATTCGTTAGTGCATGAATGTCCATAAAATGCACGTAAAACGTGTTGTCATCGATTCTTTGTCGTTTGACGCGTAGTTTGCTCTAACCTTCTGTTGGGGCCTTATTGGCGGGTTACACCAACGGAAAGAAAGTCCGACGAAATACTTTCTTCAAAATTTTATAACGAACTCGCTGTGATTTTCTTCTATTGGTTGCAACGAAACGAAAAGAAAACATGTCTGAGAAATTGGCCGAATCAATAGAAGACGACAATTCTGTTACAATGCTGGATGTTCTTCAAGTAGAAAATCAGCTTGAAGAAGACGCGTATGCCGTTTTAGGCGCTTCTGATGACCAGAACTGTACTTACAACAAGGTGTGTAATCCTTTCCAATTTTGCTTATAATAATGTTACACTCTTGTCTTTGTAGAATGCTGTGTTACAGTTGTCTCTTATTGATTAACATTTACAGGGATATATAAGGCAAGCGCTTTATGCATGCAAGACCTGTGGTTCCAACAAGATTCGTGCTGCTGTTTGCTTGGCATGTAGCTTCCATTGTCATGAGGGACACGAACTTGTGGAACTGTACACAAAGCGACAATTTAGATGTGACTGTGGAAATTCCAAGTTTGATGGCAAGAAATGTAACTTGGAGAAGGTAATACATTTTCTACATGTGTTATATTTTGTATGTTTTCTACAAGATCTTATTGTGTGATTTGACTGATGCTTATTATTTTTTTAAAGATGAAATCTGCGGTTAATTCTGAAAATAAATATAATCAGAATTTTGATGGAGTTTATTGTGTCTGTGCAAGACCATATCCTGATCCTGATTCTGAAGGCGATGAAGATGACATGTTGCAGTGTACTATATGTGAAGATTGGTACCATTCAAAGGTAAATAAATGAGCAAATGTATATATATTACAAATATATCAATCAAATTAAATATTTTGCAATTTTTCTAGCATCTGGAATGTGATGATGGTGTACCAGCAGATAATGCATACCATGAAATGATTTGTGCAGGCTGCATGCGAGAGCACAATTTTCTTTGGAATTATGCATCAAAATATGCTGGTTAGACACTTAAAAATTTTTATACGCTTGAAACTGCTGTTACTTTCATTGTAAGCTCATTGTATATTTTTATTGCAATCAGTTTCAAAGAAATCAGATACACCTGAAAAAAATGAAGAGGTAGAAGTCAGTAAGTTACCAGAAGGATGTCAAATGCCAAATCTTTTATCTGTCAACACTAAAGGAAGCTGTTTTTGGATAGAAGGTTGGAGAAATGCACTATGTACTTGTGAAAAATGCAAATCGGTGAGAAATCGAATATCATACTTTTTTTTTTTTAATTTTGAAGGTAATTGCCTTTCATAATACTCTTTCTTTCTTATAGGTATATAATGCAAAGAACATCATGTTCTTACTTGATCCAAAAGATAGCGTACAAGCGTATGAGGAAGCAGGTAAATTGAATAAACAGGAATCACAATATGAGAAAGGTATGAAAGCTCTTGCAAGTATGGGCCATGTGCAAAAATTAACTGCAATTGAAGGTAAAACTTGCAAAGTTAAAATTATTTGATCACACTATTTTTAGAAACGTTAATTTTACAAGAATCATGCGTTACTTTTTACTAACATAAAACAATTATTTGCAGAGTACAACAACATGAAGGAACGACTTATGCAATATCTACAAAAGTTTGCGGACAACAAAAAAGTCGTACGTGAAGAAGATATTAAAGAGTTCTTTTCGGGAATGGAGTCGAAGAAACGTCCGAAAGTGACCGTGCCAACATATTGTCGTTGAAAACTTGAATTTTAATACTGCATTAATCTTATAGAGCTATCTAATAATTATATAAGTGAGAATGAGTATTCTAATATGTTTCTATATCAGATTGCATTCTTAAAATTTTCATAATTGATATTTATTATTGCGTCTCGGAGGGCCTTTTAATAAAAAATCTTTTGTTTGTATTTTAAGAGAGAAATATATTAAGGAGAATATAATTTACATCTAGTATGTGTCAAGAAACAATACGATTAAATGATTTATTTCTCCGCACAATTTTTATATGTGGTATTTAATATATTATTCTATGTAATTGTAATTTTTTATTGATAAATATATTTAAAAAGTATGATAACTAAATGGACTGATCAATTATTTTTAAATTCTGTTATTTATGTATAAATGTATTGTTATGTTGCAGGCTACATTTTTTTAATTTTTACTGTTATTGATGAAAGTATAATGAAGTCAAGATCTTACAGGCGTTTGTGTAGTTTGAAAAAGCCGCCATGCTTCTGCGCCATTTCTGCGACTAAAATTCTCAACACCAGATCCAGGAGCAATTGACCAATTACATATTGAATATAAAGCGCGTCATATGACGTCATGTGATGTGCCTCCATCTTTTTAAATTCTTTCATTCCGTTTCTTTTTAGAGTTTGACATTCACGGTATATTTACTCCTCGTATTTTTAGTCAAATATATTTCTTTCTGTTACATTCGATTCTTATTTTGTGTCCCAATTTACATCTACAAGTTTATTGCAATTGTGAAACTCAATAGGTAAATCTATTTCATGTATTTTGTATTTTTTTCTCTCTGAATTGCATTGACGATGCAATGGGTACACGATTGCTAGGAATACGGACAAAAAGAGATTGCAATACTTCTCGAGGATTTTTGCGAGACTTATCGAAAGAAGAATGTTGCAGCCTCTTTTTTCATAATCATATGAATAATGACTGCTATAGAGTATTGTAATATTTATTAACTGCTATTGATAACCTTTGCTTACAAAATATACGGACCAACGTAACTTTTAAGCAAGTCAAAATGTTCCCGAATAAAATATTTTTAATGTATATAATAGCTAATATATATTTATATGTTACAGAATGTCTTCGACATGTTCACAATGGCGGAACATATTGTTGAGGTTCAATTATGCAGCCGCGCGTCCAGTTAGCGTCTCCACGATTGTTTTAACGTCCGAAAGGTATGTAAATCGCGTTCTAATCAATCTTTGGCAGTGATAGAAGGAGCCCGGCCTTCCTTTTTACGCCGGGAAATGATTTATGATATATGCTCTCAAATATCATCGTTATTTGCACCTTTGATATTATCGTTATCACTGAAATAGTAATTTCGTATGGTGAAGCTATGTGTTTTACGGCAATGTGGGATCAAATGGGATAATGCACACTTTATCACTTCAAGATGACTTCAGCCTCAACAATGATGGCCGCATCATCGCGAACGCTTCGCGATGTTACATTCCTCTTATTCTACATGCTGCGCTTTTTTTTTAAGTTAAAGCTTATCGGTAAAACTTTCTCGATATTACGTCTACTAATATAGTATCGTATCGTAAATATATCGTATTATTAGATAATGCATTTATATGCACTATAGTTATAGAGATTTTTTCTCGTGCAATGCAAAGTTACGCTTGCAGCATTTTGACTGGGCATTTTGTATGCGTTATACGTATAAAAGTTCAGAGATGTTAAAGTTTTAGAATATTATAAAAGTTTTTAGAGATATCGCGATAGATAACTTAATCGAAGAAAACAATTGAATTTTGTTTCGAGCAATCGCGAAGAATCTTACGGAAAGCTAATCGATTATTTTTTTCGTAATTGCGTTCAAATTTTAACAATCGCGCCGATCAACGAGTGCGATACGCTTACGTTACAACAAAAAATTGTACTAAATCTACGAAAATGCTGCAATCACAACTGACAGGTATTTTCGTGAAAATTCTCGTACGATATGCATTTTAGGATTACGCCGCGACATAATTTACTTTAGATTAATTAAAGATCAGCAAATCGGCAAATCTCATCAAGATCGAGTATTACTCTGACCCGTTCTTTTTTTTTCACATTACAAACTTTAGTATATACAAGGCTAGGCATATTACTATCCAGTCCTATGATGATGATTTTAACATGAACGAAGAACACTTTTGCCGGCCGATTCGCGGCCGGATCATAAATATATTGGGCTATTTCTGATGGATTAGTTATAGTGATAATAAGTAATAGTAGTAATTATACATAGAACACCATTATAAAAATGCTTACAACTAATTCTGTGCGTTGAATCTCTTAAAATTATGTTCGATCTTCGCGTGCAACAAGGAAGTGTCGTGTTATCACTTCGGGCGTAATTTATGCATTCGTGTAACAATGCTTCTGCAAATAATTTTCAATCGAAACTTTCAATATTGCGCGTTATTCAGCGAACGCGATTCGCATTTTTACGCACGATCATTTCCTTCTTGCACTCGCCTTAAAGTCGTGTTACGTTAAATCCTACCGCAGCAAATTATTATACCCTGGCCGAAAATGTGCCGATCTCCCTCGTCCTCCTGTTCACCAGGACTGCGCAAACACTTTCTTATGCGCGTAAAACGGTAATTAAAATATAGCGAATTTAAGAGTACCTTTAAAATATCGATCGCGCTCTCCCGTTTTGTAAAACTAGAGCCTTCGATATTTCTACCTCCGAAATTAAGGCAAATATTCAATAGGAATCTTACGACAGAAATGCAAGCCTTTTCAGTATGGAAAATGTGGACAGCTTTTATCTTCCTTAATCGCTATTTTCTTCCCTCCCGCGCACATATATATATATCGACTAATGACAAGAAAAATATATCTCTACTCATAGCCGACTCGATAGATATGTTTCCTCTTCAAAGCTGTTTGTTTGCTAGAAATAAGTGTTTTTGTAAGGAGCTCTAGCTGCTAACTTAAAAAACTACAAAAGTTCAATCAATATACACTACTAAAAAAATTAAAACGGCACTCAAATGCAAAAAAGGAAGGCCAAATTCAAATAGCTATAATTTTGATAAATAATCATAATAAGACTCACAAAAAGGCATCTTGAAGCTTGAAACTTCTACTTTTAGAAGCTTTACTTCAAATTGTAATTTTATTAATCAAATTTCAAAAATTTTCTGCAATTTTAACGAAGTGCATGGCGATAAAATTTTTGAAATCTGAGGTATCTGTATCTTCATATAAATGAAGAATTAATGAAATCGTAATGTAAAGTTTCTAAAAGTAGGAGCTTCAAGCACATCAACATGCTTTTTTGCGAATCTCATTACGATTATTTTTGTCAATCTTACAGCTATTTGAATTTGGCCTTCTCTTTTTACTTGAGAGGGGCTGGCTTTAATTTTGTTGAGTAGTTTATATCTTATTATGAATTTCATAGACATATCGATAATGTGCATGTGTATTTGTCTGGGCGCGATTTGCTAATTCTCTCTTAAATGATAAATCCGCTAAAATTGCGTTGAATTACGTCAAATATATAAACATGTATGCCAAAATCTGTTTATTTTGCAGCAATAGCATTACTTTACGGATGATTTATAGATTAAGGACATAGATTAAGGACGACGAATATCCTTCTTAGCTCGTGTAAGTTGGATAAACGTAATTTGAATCACTTAGTATTATCCTCTTAAATGTTTTGATTTATATTCTTACATTAGGCGATTACTTCCGCGTGACCTTAACTTGCGAATTTATATTACTTTGCTCAGACTACATTTTTGCATTCGCACTCACAGAACAGGAATTTCCGTTCTTAAAAAACTCTTAAACTAGACGGTGGCTCAAAGAAAGATCGATACACCGCGATGGACAAATATCAAATCTCGATTTCTATTATTTTTTTCTTTCTTTCTTGTTTCTTCAATCAGGACTTCAATCGTCGACTCGATATCCGATATCCATCTTAAACATCTATTTTTTGGTTGATACACAAGCTGGTCCTGAAAAGGTGGGGATCAGTGTTCTCGGACGTCTTCGGTTCCGATCTTCAGTTACAGCGAGAATTGAAATCCAAGGCTTCGCCTCAGCGTGCGCGCGATCAGACTCGAAAGTTCCGAAGGTCAGTGCTAATTGTGCCTGGCGCTGAAATTTTCGCTAAGGCCTTTAAAAATCAAATCAGGTACACACCCGCTTTGCTGATTCCCACTTTTTGCACGCCACTGTATATAAGCATATTATATCGATTTCGGTATGTTTCATTGCGCGTGAGGTTCGTTACTCATCCGATCCAGCCATATATCATTTCGCGTCTGCCTCTCCCCCTCCCCCCTTTCTTCTCCCTCGACGATCTCGACAAAAAATGCACGGCCCGTCGATAGGGCTGTACGTATCGCATATATCTCAATAAGACGTCTCATTCACTCCGCATCAACTGTCACACGATGAGTGCGTTTTTTTTCTTTTTCTTTTTTTTTTTTGTAAAGGTTCAACGAAGAAATATCCGCAAGATTTACGAGAAAGTCTTTTTTTGCGCGTAACCCTCTTATCCCTTCTTATTACCCTGCTGGGAATAAATTTCGAGGAAGATTTTTCGAATCTTATCATACGTACGCATGTTACAACAAATTGTATATATCTTCGCCTGAATAACTCGAACTAGATTCACAATACGATACTTGATATCAGACTCAGTCATTCATATGTTGAACACTGTTTAATCTTTGAGGAAAGCAACACTGGTTATATCTTTTATAGTGAAAACATCATGCTTTTATGGAAATTATAAGACATCTCCTAAAAATCTCTGCAATAGAAGAGCCTCTTGTCGCTAAAATTTCAACGCAAAGTTTTAACATCGTCTCAATACTTTCGATAACGGCGATTTGTGTCGGAAAAGTCGAAGATAATTTGTATCTTTGAATTCGTGGAATACATTGCAACTCCAATCGAAATACAAACGCGTACAAAAAATCACTCCTGCATACAACGAAGTATGCTTCCCAAAGACATCTCTGATTTCCGATTTATATGTACGTATTTATAAAATCGTCTCATATTCGCGTAATTCTAACTTGATAAAAGATATAACGAAGACATTCGACGAACAAATGTAATATTCGGCGCAGTGTCGGAGAACGATAATCATGCAGAACATTGATATTTTTACGAAGAATTTAGAAAAACTTTTCCTAAGATCTGAGATTGAATTTAAGGGTGTGAAGGCGTCGAGGGGCAATCGCCGTGAGAAAGCTATGCAAAATAGGAACTTTGAAAAATTCAAAATCTCTATGATCGTGTGAGAAAAAACAACACGAATGCGTGATATATTGAAATGTAGATGTCCTTTTTTGTGCCGTGATTGTCCCTTGGCCCTTTCACAACTGCAAATTTCGTCCTGCCAGGACTTGGTTCACGCTTAAACTCGTATTTCCTCTCGCACTTTATTCTCGCGGAGCTACCCGGAACACCGTGGCACCGTGAACTACCGGGAACACAGATAGATTATATTCGCTTATAATTCTTACTAAAAATTTTCTCGCGAATCCTTACGAAACCCTGCTGGTTTTGCGCAGTACCGCGTTACTTTCCCATACGCATTCCTTGCAACTAGCATGCGATCATCGTAGAACTCGTTCGCGACACACAACCGTGTCGTGAACACCACTAACAGCTAAACACGATTAAACGTACGATTTTGCCACCACGTACTGCAATCTGACGTGAAAATCGCGTTTGCGAGGCCGGCAAGCGAAAGAGAGAAAAAAAAAAAACAGCACGTAAGCAAGTGCAACTAATTCAAGTAGCTCGTTCAAACTCCGACAGTGTTTTATGTGTATATAAAAAAAAATCGAGTCTACGTTCAGTCGCGAAATGCACTCGGTCGTCTCTCGCAACGAATCAAGTTTTTTAAAAAGTTCAATAAAAACCGAATCTCGTGAAAGAAGCGATGAATTACCGTCCGCAAATCGAAGGGATGATGCAGTCTACGTGCGTATCGGCTACTTTCTTACGTTCTTACAAATCGTGCCTGCCTTCGCGCTCGGCTGAGCCCAAAAGTCTCGTTCTTGCATCTTTTTTTTTAATTGCGGTGCATCATTAAAAATTGGCGCGGCCGTCGGCGTGGCCCTATGAAAATGACGCAGTGAGTGCACATCGATTAAACCAAACTATGCTCGCGCGTATCGTAACGATGCGTGTACAGAATGGAGGAATTCGGTCCTGGCGATGTGACGGACGATGGTGGCGTAGAACTGGCGGAGCACGATGATGCGGAAGGCAATGCCTTCCTCGAGGCGGACGGTACCTAGGTATTGTGACCCTGCCTGTGGGGCTTGTTCTCCGAATTGTTGGATGTCTGCCGGCCTACGAGATCCTCGAGCTCGTCGGGCGTCAGGACCGTAAAGTCCCTATTAATACGACTATTAATGCAAATGCGACGATTAAATGCGAAGTAAGAGAACTTCTGAATCGTAAGCATCTTAGATATTAGATAGAAAAATTGCACTAAAATTATTTACTTGGTACGAAAGATTCAAATATTGAATTGCTCGAAGCTTGACGAATTGATTAATCGAATTTTTTTTCAATTCGAACGCAAGAAGAAAAATTTTACTTCTTTTGAAAAATAAATTTCGCAGAATGTCAGGTCCGTTCGTCGAGGACGCGAATTTTCTGATAAGAATTTCGATAAAAAAGTTACGGCACTAGGATTATTTTTCTAAATCTATCTTTCGAAAGAAGTAAAGTTATTTATCTGATACGAGAGATTCAAATGTCGCATCAATTGAATCATTTAGATCGCGGTAGAAGGAAAGGCTTGCTTGTTTTAAAAATAAGTTCACTGAAATATCACGTCCTATAACATCGCGGAATGTCTCTTATATCCCGCGAGAAGCCCGGACGGTAGTTTCCAATTGATCGCTTTACCTGTGCTGAGCCAGTAGCATGTCTATGCTGGTGACGCTCCGCTGATGAGTGCCGTCCTTCTGGGCGGCGGACTGCTTCTTGATACACACGGCTCTCAGCGGCGCTAGGAACACCCCGATCACGAGGAGGCCGCTGCCAGCGGCGATCAGAGCCGCCGAGTTCTGTGCGGCTTCCGCGCCCGGCGCGAGCTGCACCAGGCCGACCACTAGCACTATCGCTCCCAGCAACAGCGAGCCGACGACGACGTACAGCGAATTAACCTAAAGCAATTTATTTGAAAGAGGTTTTTTTTCTCTTTTACGAATGATGAAAAAGCGATCGCGCCGAGAAGCCGAGTCGTCAGGCCTTTACCTTCCCGCAGAAGTAGTACTCCGGCGGTTCTTTGTCTATCATAGCGAGCACCGCCTCGCTTTCCGCCAGCGGACTACCCGGCTGGCTGTTTCCTATCCTCGCGCTCTTCTCCTGGTAATAGGTCTTGTGGAAGACCTTCACCGAAGGTACCGGTAACGCCGTAATCATCCTATCGGGAACAAATCAAATGCGACACATCAAATTTACGGAACGGAATTTCGCAAATCGAAAGATGTAAAAGTAAATTAATGCACGCGACATAAATGATTTGTTTGATGAAATTTCCGAATACAATTTTGCCGAAAATTGATTAAATTTTCTGATCTGATTCGGATCATTCTTCTATATTAAGATTAATGCTCAAATTGTTGCGTAGTCATCTCTCGAGCGTTTTCTAGTAGTTGGATGTGCAGTGGTGAAGGCGATTACTGGCAAACGGTGGTGGTGTCGGTGGCCTAGATATGTTCTCGGGGGGGCGATGGCCTTTGTACCTCGATTATCGAACAACCGAAGCTAGCACAGGGTGCAGGTGCTATGTTAAAAAACTCTTCGATCGCGCACAAGAGTCTAAACAGTGGACTCTCTCTCTCTTTCTCTCCCTCGTTCCTTTAAAATCTGAAATTCGTTGAAGTCCATCGACTCGTGAACGATAAATATAATCTCGCATGACGCGTTTACGAGGCAGCAAAACGAGCGAAAAAAAAACAACCCTCGTGTAATTCAGTGCGGCCGAAAGTACGTTCTCGATGATGATTAAATATAGGCGCCACGTCGGGGCACTCCGAGTGAGCCGCGGCGGGGACGCCGATTCGCAATGCCGAATCGCGCACGGTGAGGTATGTGCATAATAAACGGATATCACCTTTATCGCTTTAGAAAGGCGTAAAGTGGAACAGTGGCCTGATTCCCCGATGTCATGGTTGCAGCTCCACGTGCATCGGAGAGAGTAGGCCAGTTATAGGCGCATGAATGTGCAACTAGTATTACGCTATTTTGTAGCCTGGATTTCTGCCAAAATCCTCCGCGGAGGATACGCGGAGAAAGGGATATCAATAATTCCCCCCCCCCGATTCCGCAATGCATTGTATTCCTTTTCCGCGTCGTAGATGCTTTTACGCGTCCGCGAATCCGTATGATAAATACGGTGGTCGCGCGCGATTTGGCTCGAGTTAGGGCAATCGAGGTTGCTCACCCTGGAAGGTACCAACTCGCGGTTTGTCCTACGTTGGGCAACAACCGACGCACAGCCTTGAATGTGAAAGAAGAAAAAAAAATTTAACATCTCCGTGAATGTAATAATTTTTGCAGATTCGGCAGAATTTTCAAGCGAGAACTGTCGAGCCTCCCGAAAACAGAGAAGGCATTAATTTATGGCAACGACCTGCGCTTTTCGTGCATTGACTCGCTGCTGCCTCGCGCTGGTTGATATTCCGTTTGGCTGTGCTCCAGAAAAATAGCTATAACAGTTTCCGATAATTGAGGTTACTGCACGCCATATGGCCGCGCGTTCATTCCTATCGCGATTTTATTTTAGCGACCACAGCTTTAGAGCCGCCGGCGTAAGAGACTCGAGTAATGGTTGGAAAAAGTGGACGTCGGTATTTGCCGATTGTCGCAGGTTTGACGCGGATGACAAATTCACCTGGATTCTCGCACATTTCATTAAAATATAACGGTTGTGATTATGACACCTTATTGAGAAGTACGTTAATTTTGCGTGGAAGATGTGAAGCTGTCCGGTGAAATTTTGAACTGCAAGTTTTGCTCAATGCAGATTTAAGACGCTCTGTGTAATGCGAATGGGGTGTTAGATACGCTGTGCTAAAATCTCAGAAAATCGATAAATGGGTCACCATTGCACATTTAACATCCAAGGGAAATTTCACGCTTCGCCGATAAGCATTCAACCGCCGAATCAGGTGTTCTATATCGGGAATCTGTTCCCAAGTAAATTGGAACAAGTGTCGAAATTCGACGAACTGAATTTCGCCCTGCGCATATTCTGTCGCATACATTCACATTAACCTGAATTAACCACGCCAATTACGATATTAAGCGTGAAATGGGAAGGAAAAAAAAATTTATTTCCGGTAGTCCCGATTGCCCCATATTTGTTCATTCCGCGGAAGCAGCGCACAATATAAACAGATCGCAGTCACAAATGTTTCTCGAATATAAATACTTTTCGCGCTAATTGGAGCAGAAATTAATAAAAAATGGAAGAAAAATTTCGCATGACGAGCAAAAAAATCTTGTCTCTATGACGTATTTACTTTTTGGCGCATTGTGACGCACACTCAAAACACAGCAGCCCGTGCAGAATGCACCGTTAAACGCGATAAATTCGAGATCCGTTCACAAGCGAAGGAGATAAAACGAATTGCTCGCTGCTTGCGAAGAATTTTCTCCCCGTTTCTCCGCATTTATCGTGCTTGACTTACTTCGTTAGTTGAGTCCTGCGCTCGAACGCGAGAATATGGATCCTCTTGGCTTGCGACGCGCTCTACTCTCCGGCCGTGCGGGAGCTCGGAAAAGCGGCGAAGAAAGCGGGCGGATAGTCGAGAAGACGAAAAGCGAAGGGGTAGAAAGAAGAAAATAGGGGGGTAGAGAAAATAGGAGCACTGCAAGCGTACGCGGAAAGCTTTGGTGAAACCGTTTTGACGTCCCAGGGTGGTGGTCCCGCGACTACTGAACCTTTTGAGATACGTATCCTGGTCGATAAACCACCCTGCAGCGAGCCACCCACCAGGCTCGTGCTAAAAGTATCGTCACCACCGACGACCACCTGGTGCGTCGAACGTGCATTGCGCGCGCGCGTATCTATCTATCCATTTTGCGAGATGACGTCTCTGACGTTTTCAAAACAAACCGATCGCCCGCCTCTGACGGCTCGCGAAGCTCCCATCGGAAACATTAACGTAAATTAGGCTCCGCAGTTGCGGTTTCCCGAATTTTATAGTCGGAATAAACTGAATCGATTTTCCAATTCTTGATGTACTTTCAATCTTTTATTGCAAACAACGGAAACCGATCGCCTACTTCTAAAAGCTCGCAAAGCTCTCATTAGAAATTACGATGTAAATTTGCGGTTTGCGAGATTTACATCGAGGCAGAGTATCTGAAATGCGAGATTGAATTGTCGATTTTCCATCCGTCTTCAATCTTTTAATCACAAACAGTAGAATTTGTCTACTTATAAAAACTCGTAAAGCTCTCATCAGAAATTGGAATGTAAATTTGCAATTTGAATTTTATCAAATTAAAATATGAAATGCGAGATTTTTATCGATTTTTCAATCGTCAATTCTTTAATTTTTTAACTGCAATTTGCGGTTCGCGAAGTTTACTTCGAGTCGGGATATCTGAAGTATGAGATGGATTTTGCAATAAATTCTTCAATTTTTTATATAATTACGAATAAAAGTTCGCAAAGCTCTCATTAGAAATTATGATTAAAGTAAATTTGCGGTTCGTGAATTTTACATCGAATTTGAAATGCGAGATTGAATTGTCGACCCTGCAACCTTTCAGTTGCGAACAATAGAGGGCTTTCTGCGTCTTTAAAATCAGTTTGTAGATTCGAGTAAGGATAAGCAAGGCTAACCAATCTCGTTTGTTTGTAATACATATTTACAAATATACATTCTTAAACGGAAGTTTACGGGATTCGTGTTGACAGCGAAACCACTTGCTGTTAGTGAAAACGTTTTATTAAACTCTGAAAGTTAAAATAGCGATAGAGTTGACTTTTGCTTACAGTTTTGTTTAATGTAGAATCACATACAAGGTTACATCGCCCATGCCTCCTCGTGCGCGACGACAGCGACGATCCTGTGCGTTCGTCGCTGTCGCGCGATATTGTGCAGAAGCGCAGCACGCATCAGAACAATCACCGTCGATCGCGTGCGAGGGGCTCGCTCGCATTATGAGATAGATTCGGGCAAAGTGTCGTGATGAAACTTTCATAATAATTGTCGTTCGCCCGCGCGAACGGAACGTTTATAGATGCAGAATATGGCTCTGCGCGTGTAACAGTATATAATTATCATATTAGGAAGATAGTGTATACATATAATATTGTATAATAAGTTTATACAAAATCTGAAAGATCGTCTTCTGAAAAAAGCACTTTTTTTTCGCTCCTCCGCCGCGCGATTCATCCGTCTCTCATTCGCAATAATTGGTCATCGATATAATGCGCGATATATGTACCAAGTGTTAGAGATAGAATATATTATGTAAATAACAAGAAGCCACGCTCTCCAATTTATCCTCTCGCGCGCCATGAGATGAGACAGCGAGTGACGCAAATACGCATATAAAAGATAAAATACAGTCACATATACCATACGTACACATGTAAAAAAAGATACGGCCTTGTACAAAATCACGAAACTTTGCGTCAGTCACGTATGTAAATCGCAAACGCAGTTCATGGACAACGTTCTCCAACTCTGTCCGCGGAATAAAAAATCGCACGGAAAGCCAAGGAAAGCTTTTAACGAAACTTGACGAATCGCTCTTGCAAATTAGAATTTCCGCGCCGAGTATCGCGTACACGCGATGCAACGTAAGAGTGAAATAGGAATCTTTTTTTTCTTTTTTCTTCAGCGCTCTCTGGATCTGCGTTACACCGCATAATTCATTCTGATGCAATAAAATCTCGTTGTTTGTTCATTCGCAACAAAACGGCAAACTTCTAGATTGATTTGTTGACGTACGCAGTTATATATTCTCTAAGGGCATAAAAGCAACAATCCGCGGTCCGTCCTTGGATACGCGTAACAGGCAACAATAGTACCGTTTTATACGTTCGTTACGATTGGCACCTATCGTCCGGGCACTTCAACAAAAAGGGTAACAAAACGCGAAACAATTGGAATAACCATCAACGAGGACATACATTTATATGTATATATATATATATATATTGTATATATATGTTTATATATATATACGGAGAGAGAACTTTTTCTCTAAATAAATAAGTATAGTTTATATGTATGGGAAATGTGCTCTACGCGCTTCAAATATATAGTTACTTTCGAAATATGGTTATCGCCGGTTTTTGCACGAAGCGCTATGTACATGCTAACATTCTTAAATATTTCGTTTAACAGGGGATATATTACACAGAGCACTAACTTATATAGAATGTTGCAAAATTCGCGAGTCAAAATTCGAGGGGAAAGTTTTCGAAGAGTTAAATAACAAAAGTCTCCCTGCGACTTTTCATTCTAAACCATAGTTTCGAAATGTGAGGATTTAAAGCTAAATTTGATCTGCGATTGAACAGCAGTCTGCGTTTAGAATAAAAAAATTACAAAGAAATTTTTACTTCTTCATTTGTCGAAAACTTTCCCGCTGTGTTATTTTGATTCGCAAATTTCAGGACACATTGGGGGGAGCAAAAATTAATGCGTAACGTGCAGTAATTAATGAGTAATGCATATTTCGATGCATTGTAATCCTTAATAGTTGTTAATAGTAATTACACGTCTTTCCCTTTCTATTTCTATCTTGCTCTCGTCTGCAGTACAAATCTGCAGCAAGTCCGAGGGATGCTCCGACCACTCACTGTCACTGGTTTGCGCGGAGGAAGTCGTATCGACCGCTTAAATTAATTCCTTATGAATCGCTGCCGAAATTATACATTGAAGGGAGCGCATTAACGCTCCACGTACTTTTGCGCGAGCGGCGTGGCATATAAATAGATTTATGTTACAACGGCAATTATAACGATTGTACAATTGTGCCTCGTGTGAAAAGGCAGTGCTGACCAATGAAATAATAAGTTTGCGCGGGAAACGCAGACGCCTGTGTGACGCGCGATTTGCAAGATCGCTGAACTCAATTTGGCGTGACGATCTGGGAAATAAAGCACGCTGGAGGGTCGAACAGTTACAAAAGTGAAACGCTGCATCACCACGTAAGCTGGGCAAAATCTCCAACTTTCGGCTGATTCTCTTAATTGACGCGTCCTCGCGTTCTCGGCAACGGGCCACCGAATGGCTGGAATTAGAGCCGCCCTGGATACCTAAGAACGCGGAAAGCAAAAACTGGACGACGGTCAATTACGAGAATCGACAGTTAATCCTTTTGCTGCGAATATATTCGTCGTCATAAAATAGCGAATATATTTTGCATGGAAAAACTGCTCGTCGCTTGCGGACGCCGCATATATTCGACAGGCTAGAAGCGACATATATATCGGATTCTGTAACATATAATATGAATCGTATTTTTTCAATAATGGTGTCATTGTTTTATTTTTTTCCACGGCACGCTTTTACGCGACATGAAAAAAATCGCGATATAGCTGAACTTGATTATAACTTCACAAACGAATATTTAATTTACGTGTTAAACTGCGCTTTGCCCGACAAAAACAGTGGACAGATTTAATTAAAATATTAGCATACTTTTAACCTTTAAAAAAAAAAAAAAATTAATCACCGGGCTTTTCTGTTAACAAAAGAGGTGGCTTTGCTTCGGGTCTTTTAGCGATCAACACGTAAATATCGTCTCGCACGTAGCGAGCGCTTTTTTTTTTATCGAAGCGCGCCGCAGCGAAAGGGTCGAAGGGTCTTTGCCCAGCTCTGTGCTGAGAGACATCGCGTTTCGTGGCAAGTTACGCGCAGCAGGCGAGGCGGATCAGATGAATATTTGGAACTTTGATGATTCACTTTACACTTTGTCTCACTATGTTTGCGCCCGTCGCGGATCCATGCGTCCGCGTTGCTTATCTAGGACTGATTGCACCAACG